TTTCATAATTTCTTTCCAACTTTCTGTTGGTTTAGAAAGAACAACAAGGGAGGGAAATCATCCAGATCATAGTGTCTGGAATTCTTTTTAACTCCTTTACCAGAAGTAGTCATTGAGGCATCTGTATTTTCTTAAGGGTAACAAAATAACATCTATGTCTGCATGTGTCTTTCTGCTTTTGCCTTGTGTTGCGTCCGTGTGCTTTTGTGTGCACTGAGAAGAACGGCTCCATAAACTCCAGGAGGGAGGACAGGGAGCTTCAAACACAGAACTTGACAGTATTCCAAGTTACTGCCCAACTACCTCCCCTGTAGAAATGCATTGGGAAAATGTTTCTGGATTTGTTTTCCTCCACAGCCCCTGGCCCAATCTGGCCAATTTTTAAACTCAGGGTTTCTTTAGCTGTCTTCTCACCCCACAACCAAACTGAGTGTCATCCTGCTGATGGGCAAACAGATAGATGGACAGAGTCCCAACCCTGTTTACATAATTCCTTTCCAATGTTCCATTGGGTTGGAAAGAATGAAGATATGTAAATGCTTTGCTCCAGAGGGGCAGCGGTGAGCTATGAATTGCTGTTCAGCTCTTCATGACATTTCTGTATAATCCTGAACTCCATTTAAAGGTGGATATTATTAACATTTCTCTTGGTAAATCCTCCTGGCAATTAGCTCTGATTTTTCTTTGCAGCAGCTGTGCTGTACTAATGACTTCCCTTATTTTGAAGTTTCAGTACTTATGAAGCTTAAGGTATCTGTTTGACATCTTTGTAACCTGGGGAGGAAAGGGGGTGCCAGATGGCCCTGATACTCTACAGAAGTTAACACAGGAATATCACTCAGCACAACATATTGAATCAATAGCTGTCATACACTAAGACATTCACGTGTGCTGTCCTACTTATTAACAATCACACTTCTCTTGCTACCTGTAGGAACACGCATCCCACACTCTTCCCCTTGATATCCAAATCAATATAATAATGGGATTACTCCTAGCCTGTGCCTGGGAGCAGCTGGAAGAGGAGTGACACACAATCCTGGTCTACTGTGGGAATTGATAAGGGAATACATACTCACACACTCGATGGGAGCAGGTTCTTTCAGGATATGCGGAAACAAAAACTTCCCTAAGCAGCAAGATGTATTAGTTAACAAAACTAAATAATGCTCCACACATTCACACAATACTGACACACACACATGCTCCATACCAGATTGATCAGGGCAGTGGGAACTATTGCATCCAGACATAAAAATAAACACTTGGATACAGGATGGAGTATGATAGACACAAGATGGGCAAGGAGACCCTTCCTCTCTTTTCGGATGGAACCAATGGGACCTTGGCCCTTTCAGAGTCCCAGATTTTATAGTCTGTACTTCTAGGAAGACTTCTGCTGTTGCCTCACAGCCAGGGATCCTAAAATCAGTTTTGGCTCTCTGCCCAGAAATTCTGAGATGTAACATAAGACTTCTCTGAATATGTCATCCTGGCAATGTCATTAATGAAACCCATTCTTGTCATCTTTGTATCTGTACCACAGTGGTTTTCAAACTAAATTTTTATCACATAGCAAGAGTTACTCTGGTAATTAATTATAATAAAAATGGCAGACAGGTGCCACAGTTTTAAATTTTCTAACAAAGAGGAGTGCTGGAAGTTGCATTTTATTTTATTCCACTTAAGATGTCAGATATTATTTATTGAACACATTAAAGGCTGGCAATGCCTGAAGTAATAGAGAATCAGTTATATTAGCTATAACTGTGGTGACTGCAGTGTTTTCTCTGCCTTTACACTCATAAATTTATGCCTGCAGAGATCAACACTCTAAAATAGTATCTAGAGCTGAAATGGTTTCAGTCATGCCTTAACTTCCTATTTTAGTGTCATTTTACCAAAATCTCAGTTCTCCACCAATTGACTGATAAATTTTGCCAAACTAAGCTTCACTTATTTTAATTAACTTAATACAGTATATTATAGGAATACTATAAATACAATATAGCTTGACTTCAGCAAAATACTTGACAAGCTACCCCATGACATGCTAATTTAAAAGCTAATTAAGTCTGGGCTGGATGGTAGAACAATCAAATTGATACATAACTGGTTTCAAAATCATACCAAAATAATGCTTATCAATAGTTTCTTATCAAATTGGAGGATGCACTGTCAAAATAATTAACCCTGAGTCCTTTATTCTTTAACATTTTTATTAGTGACTTGGATGGAAGAAATGTTTATTAGATTTGCAGTTGACATAAATTTTTGGGGGATAGAAGAGAGAAATAAAATTCAAAATTAATTTGACAGATTACAGAACTTGGCTAAAATAATGGAATGAAATCTAAGAGAAGTATAGAGTTTTTAGGAAATCAAAACGAAACATACCTATATAGAATGGGGGATACTGTGCTGGGAATACTTGTGAAAAAGAGCTTGAAATAGTAGTTCACTGCAAACTGAATATAAACCAGCAATATAATATGGCTGCAGGAAAAGATTTTTTTTTTTTTTTGCTGCATCAACAGAAGTGTAATTTTCAAATCAAAGGAATTAATGCCTTATTCTGCTTCGGTTAGATCTCATCTGGTGTGCAGATCTGGGCACCATGCCTTAAGAAAAATTCAGAGAAATTGAAACAAATTTGGAGGAGGACAATGACAATTGGGACTAGAAGCAAAATCTTGTGAAGAGAGATTGAAGAATTTATGTATTTTAAGCCTTGAGAAAAGATGACTGAGTAGAGATATGTTAGTGCTCTTCACATTCTTCAAAGGGTGTCACACAGAAAGAGGTCAGGAGCTGCATTCCAGACTGCAGGATACAGAATTCTGGATTTAAGTTACAGGAAAGCAAATTACAAGATAGAAAACAACTTCCTAACAGTGGCAGCATTATAATAGTGGAACTAATTAGTCAGAGAGGATATGGGCTCCCCTTTGGATGTGTTCAAGCAAAGGTTAGATATGTTTGAAATGCTTTAATTCAGAACTCTACCCTGAGTAAGTCATTGGATTCAGAGGCCAAAATGGCTCCTTCCAACTATACAACATGATTCTATCATATTACTGCCTCTTGTGGGAAGGTTGTAGAGCTGTGTGAATGCACAAATGACTACTGAAATTAGTGTATTTACAGATAAGCAACAAGCTGTATTTCTTCATGGTCTATGTACACCATAACACTGGGCAGGTAGTCTTATAACAGGATGGAGGAGAGTAGTGTTTTGTCAAAGGAAATGTCCTCTTTAAATGTCACCTTGTCTGTTGTGTTTCATGAATATTGAAGAGTTTGACCACACTGTCTTGGCAAGGTGTGGATAAGTTGTGATGGAGACCCAGGTTATTATCAAGAAAGTAATCCCAAAAGAGGAATTTCCAAAGTTGCCCTCCACTAAGTGAAGGAAGACTCTTAATCACGGCTGCTAAACTTCCAGGGGATCCCTAGGTTGCAATAAGTTTTGTTAGCATGGATCTTAACCACAAAAGAAAGGATAAAGGGAATGCTTAGTGAAAGGATCAACACTGAGCAGGGAATAAAACAAGGAAATGTGATGTAATCTATTTATGAGCAAGTGTGTAAAGAACACTTGTGATGACATTAGAGATGTGTCGTGGATACAAATATATGTGTACTTTTATATGCAATGCAGATGAAGCCTGAATGATTTGCAGCAAATATTAGATTGCATGATCCAAGGAGCATGAATATCAATCATAATATAATAAAGACAAAGGTAGCTGGGTTTGGCAGAGAGAATGGAGTGAATGATTATGAATTACACAGAAATAATAAAAAATAGAATATGCGGGTGACTCTGCATATCTTGATAGAGTGTTTCCTAAGGACATAAAAATGGCTGCAGAAAGTTCAAGGTGAGTAAATGCTAGTAGAAAGATAGTGGGTAATACTGTTGCTAGTAATGAACGTCAGTCAAAAGAAGCAAAAATAGGCATGTAGAAGAGTATACTTTTGTTATATGGAAATGGGTTACCTAAGAACTGTGTGTGATAAGGAAATGGGTTATATAAATGGGTATGCAAGAACTGTGTGTAATCAGCAAAAAGTGCAGGGGTCAAGAATGAATGGGTACAGAATAAATGTGGATTTAACAAAAAAAAGGGGGGGGACCAGTACAAAACATGAACATTGAGGTGGTTTGGCCATAGAGAGAGAATAAATGAGAATTTAATCATAAGAGTGGAGAGAAAGAGGAAAGACAAGAAAGTGTAGTAGGAGATTCTCAGAAAGAGAAAGGTGAGGTTTAAAGAACCAAAGGTGATGCACGAAACAGTATATGGATGTAGTGAAAACAAGAATGGGTTGTAAAGATCAAAAGATATGGATGGGTCTAGTGAATTGTATTGGTATAAAGTAGTTCTACTGAGATTTCCTTATCTTTTCCTTTATTTTCTATTTTAATTTTTCAGTGCTACTTACTCTTTTCCTGTGCTTTCATAACATTAATACAAAAGGGAATAGCATGATGAGTATGTATGTATGAATTTTCTATGCAGTCATTTGATCTTTTTCTAGCCCTATGGAATACACATTATATTTTATCCCCAGAAATACATTTTTCTGAGATACGAAGCTAGTTCAGTCCATCTTTTTATTTAATAATGTTTTTACTGTTTCGCATTGGCCCCGGACAATTGACTAGCCAAAAAAAAAAAAAAAAACAGGCCCATAGGCACAATGAACCTCTTTCTGGGTCTTGTTATGGGAGAAACAGCTAGATGTAAAACTTTGTGAGGGGTTTTGCACCAGATTGAATTTTAATCACTGCAGATTTCATCAGGTACTTGGAATTAGAAAATATTCTTAATAGAACTTGCTGGACTATGTTTACATTGTATTTTGCTGAAAGGATACTCATGGGGAAAAAATCAATTATCTTCCAGCATTTCAATGTGTTCTGAATGAGCTGTTTGCAAAATGAGACAAAGCGTTTGGCGCTTATCTGCCCTTTCAATTTGCTTTCTTCACAGGAAGTGCAGCGTTGTACATCCGACATGAACATCACCGCTGAACATTCCAATCATCCCGACAACAAGCACAAAAATAGATACATCAACATTTTAGCATGTGAGTAATAATGGCCTTAAGAGAAGCCATTAACAACAACAGTAACTGTGCACCTTGTAATGGTGTCCCAGTTTATCAGTATATTTATTTTTTTTGTACTGTCAAGTCAGGGTTGACTGCTGGTGATTGCCTGAAGTAGTTCTTGCAG